GATGCAGGGCATGACGAGGCCCGACTTTTTAAATACCCACTTTTCAAGCGCAAACAAGGGATCGAAAGTTTGATGACTGAAAAAATCCTCGCAAAAGTGCTGTCAATTTATAGATATGCCTATCTATATAAAAAAGACCTAATTGGAAAAACTGACCTCGTCATGCCCTGCATCTTTACATGCTCTTTCAAGCAAAAAAAATTAATATATTGGATAGATTTGAAAGAGAAATTTTGGATGGACGTTTGGGAAAGTGAAAAATGAGAAAAAACGAAAAAGATTTTTTCGTTTTTCAGAAAACCGCTGATTTTTCGAATAGGGGTTGTCAGGAACCTCTAAAATTTTCTGAAAAAAATGAGATATCGAACAAAAATTTTTATCGTTTATGAAAGAGCAAATGACGGGCTATCTCTCCATGTATCGATCTCAACTTTGACCGTTCTGACGAAAATTAACTTTTTTTTGAGGAGGGGGGCTTAAAGTTTTGTTGTTTCTCCGATGAACATCATGATCCATCTCTTTTTCCTCAGAAAAAAGTCGAGATTTCGCGACATTTTTTCTTTCAATATTCGTTATTTCTTATCAGTTCGTTGATAATGACGAAAAACAGAAGAGATCCATGGTGCAACGAAAGCACGTGACATTGAATAACATGCATATTGTTTTTCTTTCCATAGTTAAAGTATGATATTACTCAAGGGTTTTTTTGTATTCAAGTTTTCCTTTTATGTTTGTCTGGGTTTTTCTCTTAATTAAATCTTGCTTCAGTCCAAAAAGTATTCTAATAGAAATTAATTCGATCATACGTTTGTAATAAAAAGAATTACTAGAAAAGTTTCCTATTTGATTTGTTTATTTCTACTTCAGGTAATACAAAATCCGGAGCTCGAGGAATTGTTCCAGTTAATGTGCGTTGGCCTACTTTTGATAGTCTGTTTCATTGGCGAGTTTATACCTGTTGTAAGCATTGATACGACGTTGGTCGTTATAAGAGAAAATCATCATTTAAATGTTAGTCGGTTTGTGATCAGCATCATACCAAAATTTTGCTACTCAGGTCGAAAGTGAGCCATCGGATTCTGTCGAATCTGTCTCAATTCGATGACTTCCGATGATTGAATCCGATAGAATTCCGATTGTCGGAATCCAATCAGATCTCAATTGATTCCCATAATTCCCGGCGCATTTCGCTTACCGGATTCCGATGAAATCCAAAGGACGGATCCCACAGGATTCTTTTGTCGGAATCCAGTCGGCTCCATCCAGTTCCGACAAGTTAGTCGTCGGATTGCAATTGAACATATGTTCTGGATTTAAATTTATTTCTAATAGAATGTTTTTGTAAGTCCCATGAAAAAATGAACTCGGGCATGCTATTGATTGAGCACGATGAAGAAAAATTATTACAAAATGATTACCAGAAACACTATTTTCCAATTAGTACTGGATGATTTCTCATACTTAAAATTCATCTCGCTAATGCAATAAGAATGAAAGCGCTAAATCTATTAGAGTGTTACACGAGATTTGTATTATAAATATTAACTGAATGCATGACTTGAACGCTTAATTCGTGATAAATAGCCATGGTATACTTTCTATATGACTAGTGTACAGGAGCAAGATCTATTTAGACAAAAAGAATTTCTCATAACATAACCTTTTGACTGTACCAATGTATAGAATAATGATCAGTGGTCTCTTTTCGTTATGGTATACTCCTATTATTTGTACTCGTGTGCTTCGTCTGAGGCAGTAAAATTATCCAGCAACAGTTCTGCTTTACCGTTTGTTAATTACATGACATACGTCTTTTCGTTATTCTTCTTGCTTTCGAGTGAAGGTTGACATTCTCTAATGTTACTTACAGAGTGAGACAAAAGTTTAGATACTTTCTAAAAAAATGTCTTCTTCCCTTTTATTAAAAATCCGAAATGGCTCAAAGTACAATCTAAAATATTTTACAACTACATGCATAATACCCTAAATTTTCAAAACTCTATCCCTACCACTAGGAAAGATATATAGCTGGCACCATAGAGAAGCCCTTTTTGTGTGGCCTAATAGAATTTCTTATTTACAAGAAAATATCTAGAATAATAAGTTTTTATCATAAATACAATATCAAACAATACAGTAATTTATATTTTCATGTTATTATAATTGTTCTATATTGGCTGAAACACCTTTACTATTAATAATACACTATAATCTTTCGCAGACTTGAACTCATCCAGCTTCGCCACCATTACAAATTGAGTGTCTTCCAGATCAGAACAATCCTTTCTTTTCAACAATTTTACATTTTCAATTTAAATTTTTTCAGATTCTTCAAAAGCAAAAAGTATTCAAAGTAAAACTAAAGAATGAGAAAATGTTAGAAAAAATTCATTTCAACGAAAGACCAATTATTAGCAATAATTATTATTTGACACAGAGCCGATTGAAGATCAATATCTTTCAACAAACATACTACAGATACGTAAACAATCTTTTCGCATAATTCGTTCAACTGTGCTCTTTCAATATTTCCTCATTTCATTATGTTCTTTTTCATTCTTCTTTTAACGATATCGTGCAAATTTCCGCCACATTTTTCTTTTTCGCTCATGCCAAAGACCAAAAATCTTCTCCATACTATAACTTACACATCTTTCCTCTAGGTAGCACTAGACTTTAAAAAATTTCAGGTACTACTCCCCTAGCTGCAAAATATTTTATATCCTACTTAGAAAATTTGAGGCCTCATACCGAAAGACAAAAAAAAAGAAATCTCTAGCAACTACTAAAATTTTTAGCTTGATTCATAGATGTACGGGACCAAGGCTATAGCCGACAGTGTGTCGGTCGAAGGCTATAGTGATAAGGATATAATTTTTAGGATATAGATGTAGCAGTGTAGGTTGAAGAGTATAGCTGTAAGAGTATAGATGTACGGGGGTATACGTGTAAGGGTATAGGTATAAGGATATAGGTATAAGGGTATAGGTGTAAGGGTATTGTTTTACGCATTATGAATATCTTTGCACTGAGTTTAATAACGATATCGGAGTTTAATTCGCGTTTGCTTTTTCAGTAAAGTGATAAGGATAGTAGACAATGGGTTTTTTACCATTGATGTTGGGAGTCTTAATATTTATTGTAAATTTAAGAAATGATACTGAGTCGAAAAGTTAACAACTATTGAAGCCTAATGACTAAAATCCGATCGGATCCTGTCGAATCTGTTAAGTTTCGTTGCAGGGTCCGATAAGACCTTGCCGAATCCCGTCATCGGAACTTGTTGGATTCGATAAGATCCTTTCTCAGTCAAATGTTCGTTGGATTCTTGGCCGCTGGATTCTGGCCTCAATCCGATAGAATCCGGTCGGATTTAGTCGGAATCCGATCATTTCAGACGTACTCCGACATTGAATTCGATCGGTTCCGACAAGATTCAGAGACCGGATTTCTTGACCTGGGTATGTTTAGACTCCCTTTTTATTTTATTTGTATATTGGCCATATTTAAAGTAGGACTGCTATTGAATATATGTATTTGAAGAGTAGGACATAAACTATCATCCAAGATAAATTGGGCCCAATTTGCATGAACCCAAAGACAGTACTATATTGGTAAACATATTGAAAAAAATTTGTTCAAAGTCATTTTTTCGAACATTACGGAATTTCATTTGTTTGTCTTCGATGAGCTGCATCTCCTTGAAGACAAAAGCAAAGAGCCTGAAATTTTCAGCGCAAGTAGAGCTCATTTAGATCTATCATCCATAAAAAGGGTGTGGGTGTGGGTGTGGGTGTGGGTGGGTGTGGATGTGGGTGTGGGTGGGTGTGGATGGGTGGGTGTGGATGTGGGTGGGTGTGGATGTGTGGGTGGGATGTTGGTGTGGATGTGGGTGTCGATTTGGAGTGTGGGTGTGTCGGTGTGGGTGTCGATTTCGGGTGTGGGTGACTTTCTAGCATCAATTCACACTCACACCCACATCCCCACCCACACCCACACCCTCATGATAGGACGAGGAGAACGGTGAATCATCTGCAGACGATAGTGAAAAGGTTACTACGTGCATTTATTAGAAGTTAACTATTGACAGGAATGGATATTTTGAAGACTTTCCCAAAGAAACTGAAGCGTGGTGAATTTGTTAAAATAAATATAAGAAAAGCAACACAAAGCGAAGCAGGAAACCAATAAATATCCCCGCTTCTATATTATGAAAATAAAATTTTTATAGCTAAATCACTGAACAGCTTGCCAAAACGAAATAATATGAGTGATTAGAGTGAACATTCAGCAACTGGTTCTCATCTAGTTATCGATTCAAAGTGAAAGAAATGAACAAAAAATTCAATCAGTTGCAAATATCACTATAACTTACTAAGTTGAAAGACCACGATCCAGATCATTCCTCAAAAACAACTCATTACATATACATTTGGATATACAGAGGGTCCCGATTCTCAATATTTTCTTGAAAATGATTTTCTGAAAACTTTCCAAAAAAATAAATACTAATTGAGACGCTCTAGGTACCCAACTACAAATGAAATGATTTATTCCCAAAGTGTAATTCCAATCTTCGAACTTAAGATATCAACAAAAGTTTTTACTATTGACACTAACTGCACTTGACAATTTTATGTCCCACCATCTATAATATCAAAGCCGAGAGAAATAACTTTTCTCTAAACAAAAGTGGTAAAAAGCGCAGGTTTTCATTTACAAGTGAATGCAAATTTTTTTAGTATGTTCAAAAGAAAGCATGAATTTCATTACATAGATGAATATAAATAATAGCAATGGTTGAAAATACTTTTCCATTGAATAATGTACAAGTTAGTAAAATGTGTATGATTGAGATTATCAGAATATATTTAATTTTAATAAATGCTCTTATTCGATTAATACTATCACTAAAAATCTTTGAACCCTTCATTAAATTTAACAATAACTTTGAGTTCATAAGTTCATTATAAAAAACATCTCATCACATGTTGATTTGTTTAATCACTCCAATAGTCACGTTCAGTTGTATTAGTGTTATACAAATGATCTGTCATCATATCACTATCGAATTCTTTTTTCCAAGCTTCTTCTGTATTTTCGCAAGAACTATTCATTTTATTTTCATCAACTAATGGCCATGGTGCATGATCAATAACATAACCAACTAGAGGGATACAATCTGATGCATATTTCAATGGTTCTTGCATGTGTGAATGCCACATAATATCAATCTATTAAAGATATAATATCATATACATGTTTTATTTAATATAGCATCATCTTACTGCATATGTTGGATGCAAAAAAAGCATATCCGTTTGTTGGTGGATATTTAGTCGCCATGTATAAAAACCTCTCATAAGATTTTTTTAATCGTTTCAAAGCTGGTGTACGGAGATCAATTATCCACGAATTGTCATAATAACGCTTTGCAGGAACTTTAGATAACATATTTATCATAAACTTTTTACATAAACTAAACCAATTTTGATCAAGAATAACATCAGCTTCAGTGAATGAAAATGGATTTTCATGAACATTAGCTGATGGTTTTGATTCAAATGCAAAATAGGTTTCATCCCAATATAAATAAATTGGAATAACACATTTTAACGAACGAAAAAGTGGATGTACATATTTAGGAGCGGCTTTCATGTTCTCATCAGATTTTGGTAGTGGACAATATTGTTCTCCAAATCGTCCTTCATAGAGTTTACAAGTATCAATAAATGCTTGTTTTTTAAGAAATTGTTCCATTTCATTTGCTAATAAAGAATGATCAATAACACGATGAAATAATCTCAAACAATCTTCTCGATACATTTGTGGTCGTACAAGATGTGTTTGCCAAATAATTTCAATATCCAATGTTGGAATAAGTAAAGTACTAGTAGGACAAGATGCTTTTAGCTGCATAAAACGATAATATCTTGTTATCATTTGTTTAATAATTGATGATTGACGCCATTCAGCCTGAAAATGAGATGCTTTCTCCAATAGTGATTTAAGTTCACGAGTTGTTTTATCAAGATCAACTGATATCTCGATAGATCTAAACAAAGATAAAGGAAAAATATATTCAATACTTTTCGTGAACTTTATTTCTGGTTATAATGTACTATCAATGATATAGAATGATTATCAATGTATGTTTACTATGACTCCGAAAGAACTATATTTTTTGTCAAGTGATAGATTTTTGCTTTCACATTGTTGCCAATTCATTGGGATGTTGTTTGAAACCATCGATGGCTACAAAGTGATGTTTGCCTCCTAATCGTACGAGATATTGTGGTGTACACATCTGAGTCCACAAACCCAGCCTTCTCTTTCTTTACGATATGCAGCTTCCACTTCTTCGAATTCTATATTTCTTAGATATTTTTCATACATCCACTCCATATAAATTTCCTTCAAAAACTTTGAGTGCAATTTTGTTGATGCTACAGCATAATTATTTTGAATTAAATGATGAAAAAACGAAAGAAATCAATAAACTTACATTTACATTTTAATTTCCAAATATCATTGTGATCGGCAACCATTTTAAATGAACGACAAACCAACGAAACATTACACAAGTCATGTACCGACAAAAATTTAAATATATGTAACAGAACTTCCGTTGGCAATGTTTTAAAGGAAGATATTAGCAATGCATTTGGTAATCTCATCCGATGACCATGAATGCTTCCACGTAACATTTGGTGGACTACGGCGAACTTTATTCGCTTTCCACAGATGTCTCAGCGTGTACTGCTTGTATGTGAGATTCCACATATGGATCCATTATTTGACATTGATAAATACTCTTCTTTTACTTAATTTAATATAAT